TATTTATTTTAAATAAATTATAGCAGAGGAAGTTCTCTGCACAGAAAAAAAATATTTTTACTGTTTTTTTCAACCAAACTGACAAGTTTCTCCAGTAAAATTATTGTGTAATTTAAAGGCATTGAAACACCTGGTTAGATTTAGAAGATGTTATGATTAACTACAAACATCTGAAGCTGACTCAGAAAACTCTGTGATTTCAGAAAAAATAAAAGTCAAATGTAGACACGTCTTTAAAAGACCCTCCTCCTCCTCCCCACCACCCCGCGCAGCTGCAGTCAGTGAATCTCGCTTTAAAAACAGTCAGCTGATCCGTCACGGTTTTGTTGCGCTCGTGACGTGAACACACAGGGGGAAATGCTGCGAAGTGCTTTTAGAAATGTAATAAATATAAAATACGACGTAATACTGGGTGGAAAATAATCCAGGAGACGTGTGTGTTCCCGGGAGATGTTCACCTGCAGCTGCGTGAAGCTGACCCCCACCCGGAGAGAAAGAAAAAAAGGCAGTAATTATTGATAAGGTAACCATGCTGTGGCTTCACCTGTTGCATTTTCTTTTAAAKAAAGAAAAAGTAGCTTGCAAAGCTGTCGCATCGGTGCAACGTGATTAAAAGCAGAGTTTTCATTGCGCGCACACATACATCTTCCTATCTTTGTGAGGACTACACACAGCGTTCAGCCTCGCTCTGCGCCGTCTTTTCCCCCCAAGTTTGGTGAGAGGTGGATATTGAGGGACGCAAAAAATAGCTCTCGACTTGATCTGGCCTTATTTAAATAAAAATGACTACATGCCGTGAAATTCTTAGAGGGGCGGGCCGTCTCGTTGGCGAGGGGGGTCTGTATAATGGTAGGGGAACACTGAAGTAGAAAAAAACAGGTGTGCCTCATCCGTTCACATTAGTTTAGTATCATTGTTTCACAGGACATAAAAGCTGTTGATTTTTGTTTCTTAAGTGTTCGTTCGGTAATTTATTGACGGTTCCTAAGCAAAACACGGTGCGATGGAGGAAAAGCAGCCGGAACGGATTAGACAGGAAGACAACACTGAATTTACGGAGCACGAATACCCAATTATCAAACCTAAAACTTCACTGTGATAAATCCATGACTCTAGACTGGAGTCCAGGCCACAGCAAAAGTCGTTTTCGTTTTTTTTTACCACAGCAAAATAGCCGGTACTTTTAAACTACTGTGGACAAATTAACTCTACTAGGACATCCTCATCTTCTACATAAACATTATTTTAGATTTTAGACCTCGTTCAGTTTCCGATCAGTGAGATTAGGTTGGATTAAAAGGTTAAAGAAAGAAAAGACAAGCAAAAGCTAAGTTTGCTGTTGTTTTCAAAAGGAACTAAAAAACTGCAACACTGTGGGACTTTTACTTCTAAAGTCTGTTTGCAGGTTTGGGGGAGTTTCCAGGATAGTGTTGGGGAGGCAGAAAAACCTTTTATGGTACAGAAAGAGCTGCACAAAGTCTGATAAACTGCCTCTAATGATCTCACCAAATCCTCTTCAGCAGGAAGCTTTTTGAAAATGTAAAAAAATTAATATATAAAATAAAAAAAGGCAGGCAGTGGGACGTCTGACACAAATGAGATTAGCCAGACTCTGAGGTTCAAACTTTATACTCACAAATCTTCCACTAAATGGTTGATGGCTGACCTGCATCATGACAAACTTCAATTCCAGGATTAAAAAAGAACAAATATAGAAATAAAAAAAAATCAAATTGAAAGCAATGTGTATGATTGTTTCCTTTCAGTCTGGTGGGCTGGTTTTCTTGCTTACCTGTCGTCCTGGACCTTCTGTTGATTGTATCGGATGTGGAAGTCCCTGAGCTCCTGGATCAGTCCTGCAGACATCATCTCATCTACACGACCGTCTAGTCGCTCATTTAGAACTGGAAAACATCAAATCAATAACTATTCTCTTCATTAACCTCGTTTTTAAAAGAGAAGATCTCACAGCTCACTCCCTACCCTTAGTGTCTGAATGTAGCCAAAAAATGCAGGGGTCTGGGTACCTCAACGGCCCCCCAAGTTCATCCCCTCCCTCCTGACCCCTCTGCTCCTCAAGCCAGCGGCTATGGGGGACACCCGTCCCTTCGTGAATTTGAAGACTTCTGTAGACAAAGAATAAAAACAGAAAAGTTGAGGTTAAATGAAATCTAAATGTAAATAAAAAAAAACTCTGTTGAACCATGTTTTAAAAGAAACGTGATTCTCTCAGCTTAACTCCTTTCTTTGTACAGAATATCTTTGGGTAAACTGGGATTACATGAGTTAAACACCAACTCGTTCAGTAAATCCACAATAAATGAAAGCCTCCATCTCCTTTCCTGAGGCACAAATTAGAGGTCTGACTTGTGTTTTATAAATGCAGAGCTGATCACTGCTGACACAAAAACTCCCTAAGAAGAAAATATGAAACAGGGCAACCTAACCTGCTAATGTAAAAACAGCAGCATGCAGACTGCTACTGATCAAAGCAACACATGTGTACGTCTGCACAACTGTCAGCCCAAGAGCACAACGTCTTCAGGATCTCATAAAACATGAGACAATTCAATTCAAATCTGACATGCAGACGAGTCACAGCACGTGCTGTAACTTGGGGACCATGGTACAAATGTGGTCCATCACTGCATTTGATGTAGCCCGGGGGACTTCAAACATTTATTAATGTCTTAAAATAAGCATATGCTTCTTTAAAACTATAAACCCCATAAAGCATGTTAATTAGCCGTCGAAATCTGCCTTGTAATACATCCATGCAACTGCATTTTCACCAAAGTGTGAATTTCCCATTTATTAGTCATAAATTTAAACTGGAACGCCCATCCAGTGGGAATTCCCTGTTGGAAAGTGAGAAAGCTCAGAGTTCAAGACGGCAGCTACATCACAACTCAGCAGTAAGTAAAACTCTCTTACTTTTACTTTTAATAGTATTTCAGTATTAGGATGAGTTAAAATGCTGTTTATATGCAGGAAATACCAGGTAGAGCTCAGTTATTGTTTGTTAACTGTGCTCAGATGTAGCAATGAGACAAGAAACGTGACATTTTCTGTTTAGTCAAAGTTAAACAAAATGTCATAGTTAATTACAGCAGGCTCTTTGAGGGCCACCATGATGCTCATGTGGCCTGATGGTAGCCTAACGTGCATGTTTTTCGTCTGTGGGAGGAAACCAGAGAACCTTGAGAAAACTCACACAAGCACAGGGAGAACATGCAAACACCACACACAAAGACCTCAGATCAAAACCAGGGATTGGACCCAGTGAGGCATCAGTGTTAACCACTGAGCCACCGTGCTGCCAAGAACCATTTCCCTCGTTGGCCCTCAGGGGTAGCACATATTTTCTATTCTTGTTCACAGACGAAAAACTTGTGAACCCAAAATCCCAGACTCGATGTTAAAGACCGGAAGGGGTTTTCTTGTAGGTAAGTTATCTGACTTTGTGTACCTCACTGTCAATGGTGAAACAGGATATTGTGTAACTCTATACAGATGGAAAACCTTGACTAAATGAGAACCCACTTTCAGGGATTTTCCACTAAATGTTCCAGTCGGTTCCCAAACAGAGAACTAAGGAGCGAAGTCACTCAGTCACTTAAAACTTCTTTTACTACATTTGATCCTGCCTCTGTTGGAGTCCGAGTTTCTGTTAAAGATCATAATTCTGAGACAGAAATCACTTTGCTTGTCAGCAAACTTAGTGATTGGCCATCACCCCTACCTGGTGTTCAGGCTTAGTGCTTGGAAGGTAAAGAAAGTAAGGCTACATTCATCTGCAGATGAAAACGTCCAGTGTTCAAATACTTATTAAAAGGAAAGCATCCCATTAAACTACAACAATACTGGGTAAATGGCTAGTTTGTCGAACACTAAGAATGTTTTTACAGTTTGCACATCTGGATATGTGATAAAATGCTTTTCACAGTGTAGGTGGTAGAGTTGTTGCCTTTCACAACAAGGTAATACAACTACTACAGTTTACGATAAAATGAAACAGATTAGCTGGTTTAGTATTCAAGTGAAGACAGTATCAGATGTACCACCTGGCTAACTTGCGCTTGTTATTTGGGTGTAACATGGAGGCCATTTTAGGATCCACCTTGGCCAGTCTTTTGTGTAACTCAGATCCTTCCAGTTTTTCCAGCTCTCTCATCCTGTTTCCAGCTTCATCAACTGCATCTCCACAGTCCTTGTTTTCCTGTTAAGAGACATATTTGTTTTTAAATTGTTGTCTCGCTAACTTTTGCCAAAATTATTTAAAACACAACAAAGCCTCAATTTTCACAGGCGTTACATTCTTAAAGTATCCGCAAATATTGAAAAAATGCAAATATTGGACGAGGTCCAAAAAAGTCCTCTCTAAAAATCTGCATTTAAACGGTTAAAAAAATAAAATGCTGAGCTCCAGGCCGAGCATGGGCACAGGGCATGCGTCACGTACTGTGCTGCATTTTTCATATGGACTGAATTTAAGTTAACGCTTATGCTACAAAATTAGTAAATTATTGCATTTTTAATAATTTAACTCATGAAAAGGAAAAAAAATATGCTCCTTATTGTACAAGATTTACTGTTATTGTAAAATTACAGGGATTACTGTAAACTATTAGTAGTTAGGTTCCATGAAAATCCATGAAACACGACTTTGCGGGGGCTTTACTATTGCAGTTTCCATTTCTTTATTCTATTTCTTATGAAAATCTGCTGAGTGACAGAATATACAGTGTAAATTTAGATGACAACTACAAACTTCAGCCAGTTTTATTAACAGAAATATTTCAGCATCATGTGAAAGTCTTAAAAATACTATAAAAATTTCAAATCCAAGATTCACTTTTTAGGCTGTGAAAACCGGCTCCACTCAAGCATAATGTTGATTTTACCAAGGATACTGTTTATCCAATAAGATAAACAGTATCAGATTAGAATAAATAGCGGAACAAAATGCATTTAACTTATGACACTTACCCCTGTATCCACTAAAACTCTCCAAAGTAGAGACTCAATGTAATAGTTCGTTCCTCCAGCAATAATTGGCATTTTGTTTCTCTTGTGCATGTCATCTATGTTGGAGAATGTTAAGGAGATGTTTAGAGATGAAAAGCACAATAGCAGTCTTTTTCACATTACAATGCCAAAGAACGTCAGCAAAGAAGAGGCCTTTTACATTACCTTCACTGTACCCGGGCTGTGCCTTTCAAAATACTCATGGACACCATCAATGTTACATCAGTACCATGTCTGAGGTTTATTTTTATTTTAGTTTATTTTTTATTTTAATTTTAATTTTTTTCATGTTATATATACAGGAGTTAAACGATGAAACTGAAACACCTGGTTTTAGACCATAACATCCCTTTCAGACAGCTTCCTCTTGCACAGTTAATCCTGTTGGATGTGGTTCGGCCTTCTTGGTGGTATGCTGACATTACCCTGGATACCATGGCTCTTGATACATCACAAAGACTTGCTGTCTTGGTCACAGATGAACCAGCAAGACGTGCACGAACAATTTGTCCTCTTTTGAACTCTAGTATGTCACCCACAATGTTGTGTGTGTTGCAATATTTTGAGCCAATCTGTGCTCTTACCCTGTTAATTGAACCTTCACACTCTGCTCTTACTGGTGCAATGTCAAAATAATGAAGATTGGCCACCAGGCTGGTCCAGTTTAGCCATGAAATCTCCCACACTAAAATGACAGGTGTTTCAGTTTCATTGTCTAACCCCTGTACAGCGGGTAAAATAAGTATTGAACATGTCAACATTTTTCTCAGTAAATATATTACTAGAGGTGCTAATGACATGAAATTTTCACCAGATGTCGGTAACAACCCAAGTGATCCATACATACAAAGAAATCAAACCATAAATATCCAGAAATGAAGTTATTTGTAATAATGTGGAATGGCACAGGGAACAAGTATTGAACACATGAAGAAAGGGAGGTGTAAAAAGGCATGGAAAGCCAAGACACCAGCTGAACTCTCTCAGTAATTAGAAAGCAAGTCTGCCCCTTGTCAGTGCAAGTTAATATCAGCTGGTTCAGTCCCAATTGATGGCCAGGTATCACACAAGAACCATCTGATGATGGGTAAAAGTAAAGAGCTCTCTCAAGACCTTCACAACCTTATTGTTGCAAAGCATAATGATGGCATCGGTTACAGAAGAATGTCTAAACTTCTGAAGGTTCCAGTGAGCACTGTTGGGGCCATAATTCAGAAGTGGAAAGAACATCATTTCACCATAAACCGACCACGACCAGGTGCTCCTCGCAAGATTTCTGACAGAGGAGTGAAAAGAATTATCAGAAGAGTTGTCCAAGAGCCAAGGACCACTTGTGGAGAGCTTCAGACAGACCTGGAATTAGCAGGTATGTTTGTTTCAAAGAAAACAATAAGTAATGCACTGAACCACCATGGCCTGTATGCACGCTCACCACGCAAGACTCCACTGCTGAAGAAACAGCATGTTGAAGCTCCTTTAAAGTTTGGTGAGCATTTTCTAAATTTTTTGTGAGACAGCTTCTCTTTTGAAACCACCACTAAGTTGTTGAGGGCAACTCCAACCTGTCTCAAGAGCACTAGAGCTTTTTTACTCGTGCTCTGCTTTAATCAGAAAATATCTGTGACAAATGTTAAGATCTATAAACTTCACTGATAAATAATATTTATTTAAAAATGGGCCAAATGTTCTTATCTTCACTTCGAGTATACTCCAGCAGATTAAATTATAAGGGGCATTTGCCAAGCTGAGCACGAAGCGGATTGATTGTGCAACAAATAATGTGTGCAGCCAAGAATGCATTGTTGCAAACTGTACTCACAAAAAAAAAAACACTGGGATTTCCAATAAACCGGCCATTTAAGACCATGGGTGCATGGTTAGATGGTCAGTCACAAACACTCAGAGAATGCAACAGAAAACTGGAATATATTCTTGCAATTTCCTGCAATTTTAGGTCCCGACTGGTCTACCAACAGTCACAGCTCATACCAGCTTTTGTGGTGAACCAAAACCACAATTACAAGAAGCTTCTAAACTTTAGTTACAGAAACCACAAGTACACCACAGTTTTAATTGCCATTTAGGAACATAAAACACAAAGCAGCTGATAGTGAAGCTCCGGGTGTATAAAATTGGTATGTGATTGAACAAAGAGGATGTGATCTACCAACTGGTTATTTCTTTATTAACTGTCATTTCATTATTTTCCTAACTTGAGCCAGTTCAAACCATGAACTTAAAAAAGACTGTGCCTAAAAGAAGCATCAGTACCTACTAATTGTGTCAGAACAGCAAACAATGGAAATGTTAATATGTAAAGTATTTTTACTCTCAGTTTGGTGTGCTAGTGTGCGCGCTCAGGCTGGGAACTCTACAACATCTCTTTTCCAGATGGTAATAACGTGTAATTTGTGTTTAAGTCAAGTTAAAATAGAGTGCCTATCTCTGACTTATAAAGCCCAGTACTGAAAAGAGCTGCAGTTTCATCATGTGAAAAATAAAGCGGTTGTATTTGTGTGATATTTTGACACGGGCATTCAAAAAAACTTCACGAAATTGTGTCCATTTTTGGGGGAAAAAATGCATAAGTTTTCTTTAAAATATTCATCTCATGATTTCTCCTTTTCAATTGGATGATTCAGTTTACATCTCCGAAAAGAGCTGACTGAAAACATATTAAATATTAAACTTAAAAAGAAAAACATTCCTGCTTATACAGCCAGGGCTTGTGTGCCACACCTTATATATCCTCAGTCTCCTTCTCTGTCGCATCTTCTTTCATCTTACACCTCTTCTCTTCTCTGCCTCCTCCCCCTCCTAATCACCCACCCCCTTCCACTGTAGGGTAATCAAATAACCACTCAAACAAGATAAAGGCCCATCAGGCATCATCGCTCGCCTTCCGTTCACACACACACACACACAAACACACACACACAGAAAGAGAGAGAGAGAAACAGGCACACAAGTCTACATTTCTGCGCTTGCAGAGGAAGCGAGGATGATTACGAACAAGGAGGAGAGAAAGGAGGAGAATCTGGAGGGCTGGTTTATGTGAACGGCATGTTCAGTGAGGGAAAGACACGACATTAGGTTCTGGCTTTTTTACCACACATTTCTTTTTTTTCTTTTTCTTTTTTTTTTTGCTCTGTAGTTTATACATATATTTTCCTCCTCTTAATCTGTATTCAACTCTCCCCTTGTCTCGCTCTTCCCACCAGCAGCTACACTGAACCTATTCTTAGAGCTACCGCATCGCCTCATCGCACTGGTGCGTGCGTGCGTGCGTGTGTGTGTGTGACAGAGATGGGTGTGTGTGGACATGCCATCCTGATCTATTAATACCCTCACTAGTTATCGCCTCCTCTCTGCACATCTGTGTGACGGCCAGCTTCTGCGGGAGGGTGTGACTGCCCAGAGTCGGTGCCTGTGTGTGTGTGTGTGTGTGTGTGTGTGTGTGTGTGTGTGTGTGTGTGTGTGTGTG